TTCGGCAGAGGGTTGGCGGCGGTTCAGCGGTTTTAGGCCAGTCGTGAGAGCGGGCGAAGCGTCCAGCCGTGGCCTCACGGTTGGACGGACGTTTCCCGTCATGCATGGCGGTGGGATGGATGATGGACGGACAGAAGCGTCGGTAGGGGCAGGGCTCTCGGGATGTATACAGAAAGAGGAGCATCAGAAGGGGTCAGGGCTCTCTGAGAAATACGACGGAGTCCGTTCGATGCACAAATGGTCCGAACACAACGAGCTGAGGGTCGGGGTGCTGACCAATCGGTCGTGACTCACCACTCATGGTTATGCTGAAGGTCACAGGTCAACGAAAGGTCGGCGATCACCATACGGCATCACATGATGTTTGAAGCTACAGGCGAAGGTCAAGTCAATCACTCCATCAAAAGACACAGAAAAAGCCCCACGGCAAACGAAGCACGAGCAGTAGCTGCTCAAAGCCATATAGATCTCGAGCAAACAATGCCTGGTACCGCCTGTCCGTATGATGCAAACAAGCTAGCCAACTATAAATGGACAATCATCTCATCTGTACAGAGCACAGAAGCTCCACAAGATGAGTTATGCAAGGCCATGAGCTTCACAGCCTGTGCGCTGCCTGTCATTCTGTCAGAGCGTGGGAGGCTGAGCGTTGATACATAAATGCATCAAAGTTCAGTTGCGTACCTTGTGCGATGCATGTATAGTGTATACCTAAACCTATGTATATGTTACATCGCACGAGGAACATCCGCCGAGAAAGAGAGGAGGGGAGCGAGAGAGAGAGAGAGAGAGAGAGTGAGAGAGAGAGAGAGAGAGTGAGAGAGAGAGAGAGAGAGAGAGAGAGAGAGAGAGAGAGAGAGAGAGAGAGAGAGAGAGAGAGAGAGAGAAGGCGAAAGAGAAAGAGAAAGAGAAAGAGACCTTGAAGAGATCTCCGATAGGTATCGACTTGATGTGCGATTGTGCGATAAATGTGCAAAAAGACTAATCGATCACATCACTAAGGCGATTACCCGTCTTCGCTGCTTCAAAACAGCGTGAATCCAACTAGCGTAAAAACCACATCAATCACTTGGCTGACACGTCAGCGGAAAAGCAAATGTGTCGACACTCGACAGCATGTCTTTAGCGCCTCGTATCCTGGATGTATCGACGTACTACCACTGAGTCACCGATTCTCGCACGTGTTTCGTGTCGTGTCGTGAAAAAGTGTGCAGCACGGAACGGTACACCTGTGCTCGCATACCAGCACGGTACGGAGGTCACGGCACAGAAATGTTCTCAACGTTCTCGCACCTCAGCTGCAGAGATATCGGCAGAAAATCAGTCGGAAACCTTGACCACAATGCGCTAACCTAAACTACTTGAAACATCTATGCGCGTATGGCACACTTTAAAGGACATTAACTTAACTCGTACCGTATGAGCTATCGTGAAATTCATTCTTACTCTCACAATTAAAGCTCCCTTCCGCCACGACAGGAGCCCGCTAGTTAAATGGACCACCTGCATTGTACCTATAGCCAGCGGCTGTTTTTGTATCAAGTTATCACTGCCTGGTTTCCGGCCTCCGTGCTGATCACACCTCCCCCTCTCTCCTCCTCTCCTCTCTCTCCTCCCTCCCTCTTCCCTCTCCCCTCGCAGCGTGACCGAACCGTGCCTGAGTGCTGGCCACTTGCATCGAATTCTCAGATTCGAGCAAAGTGGAGTGGTATTTTTAATACCTACTCTGGTCTGATGACGGATTTATATAGCTTCAAATATGACGGCGTCAGACTGGGCTATTGAGGATGATATTGTCACAATTAAGATAATGCGTGAACTTTCCTATCTGATGAAGCTATCAGATAGCTAATAAAGATGTAATTATAGCCTCCAATTGTCGGCTAGCCAAGACCGACAAACAGGAAGTGCGCTCTCTACGCTCAGGCATGAGGGGACGGGTCTCGGTTTCCGGATGTCCAGGTCTCGCCTCCCCCATGTCGCGTGTCCCGGCCCGCTCCCGGACACAGGCGGTGACCCAGCCCGCTCCCGGACACAGGCGGTGACCCAGCCCGCTCCCGGACATTCCCCGCCGCTCCCGGCCCGTGACCGACCCCTGCCCTCCCGGCCGCACAGAGCTGCGTGCCCTGCCACCGGCCACCCGGCACAATAGAGCAGCCGGACGTCGCGTGCGGCCGCCCGCGCCCGGCGGCCAATTTTTGGACAGATCGTGACCATTTCCCATGGCGTTCAAAGCACGGCGACAAATGTAAGCGGACTCTAAGTTTCGGGTTGAATAGGAACTGAGGAACCAGATAATAAACACGATACTAAAACCAGTTGAGATCCGCGAAACAAGACAACTGAGCTTTATCCCCACATTGTGACAGTCTACTCGTATGCCTCGTTTCCACAAGGAAACTGCCATTTGCCTGGCCGATATAGGAAATACGTGTCAAATCACGCTCCCTCCGAACTGTCAACGGCTTTACAAGATCCCAATCTCCACTGACCTTGGCCGGACAATTCACGACTGCTCGCCGGCTTTCCACGGTAAAATTATCATCTCTAGTCCAATCGGCAATCACAGCCTCGGCCGAGGAACACGACTGGCCAGTCCTTCGCGGAAGGCCCGGATGGTACGCCATCCGGGCCTTCTCATGACACGCCCGGTAGGGGGGCGCATTACCGAGGGCTCGCTCGAGGAGATGGGCCTACTCGCATGAATAGGATAGATTTTCAGAACGGGGTGGTAGGGCAGCGGAAAGGGGACGACATCAAAGGCGGTACAGGATGGGACAGGGAAAGGAAAATGAACGATTTTCCGCATCCGCTTCGCTTGGGTTGTCAAGCGTATGCCTCAGTGATGTGCAGAGCACAATTATTTAGTTATAGGGGCAGTATGAACTCGTGGAAGCATGAATAGTGTAAAACACGTACGGCGGCTAATATCCCACACATTTGACGAATGTTACTTGAAAATAACGACTAACTACATGACACTAAGCAATGAACTTATGATTACATGTGGGTTCTTTATGAGTCTAAATAATGATACGTCAAACAAAAAAAAAAATTAAGTTGCTACTAATCATTTTGAAATTTCTGCTTTAATTCACCCAGCTATAATGAACGTCAAACAGGTCAAATAATGAACAGCTGAATAAGCTCAGTATATGCAGTCGCACCAAATACGAGCGAAACGAAACATTGCCAACTTGCGTTACGATCCAGTGATGCGAAGCATCCAAACGAAGATTGCTATACGGAGAATACTTTAAAGGTAGTGTGCCACCTTTAAAAGATTTCCCGTTTTATTTTTCCTAGGATAAGAAGCTTCTGTTTTTACCTAATATCGCAAAGAAATCAAAAATGGGCCTGGAATAGTGCCTTTTTCGCCTAAAAGTTTATCGGTTTTTCGATATGTATAACAACTGTAGTGGACTCACCTGCAAACAGGCGTCGTCAACAATCGCGAATGCGGCGCACATGTGACAATAAGCAAAGGTCATTATAGAGTTACGACGTATGGGAATGAGTTATCAGCTGTCTAATCGTAGACAACACAATGTCGAGCCTTAAACTGTAAGCCTGTATTGGTATTGTTTCTTTTATTTGGCTGTCGAACATTATTTATGGTTTGAAATATGATTTTATGTAAAATAATTGATATGAAAAAGCCGTCTCTTTATGACCCCATTTCACCACACGCAAGTGGCAGAAATGACAATGATCAGCTGACGCATTTTTCTTGGCCGAAGTCAGAGCGCGCGGCCCGACGCACCACCACCGCACCACAAAGTATGAGCAGAAGCCGCGCCCAAAGCCAGGGCCCCGGTAACGTGAGGTAGCCGAGTCGGGGCAGCGTGCGCTGACCCAAGCCGGGGCCGCAGCTTTGGGCGCGGTCTACCGCATCCCCGCGGGCAGCCCCGGGCTATCACATGACACCGGGAGGACGCGCGGCCCCGGCTTGGGTCAGCGCACGCTGCCCCGACTCGGCTACCTGACGCTACCGGGGCCCTGGCTTTGGGCGCGGTCTACCGCACCACCGAACAGGCGTGTTCGAAACCGCAGGAGATGATGATGAACGGGTTTATCGAAACTTGATTGGATGAGCATATCGGTAATAGCGATTTCAGTGTGTGCATTTATTGTTCATAGTGGTGTGAAATGTGGTTGGGGTACGACCGACAACCCGTCGGGGCGAATTTCGCACTGGGGTACTCAAAATTTGAAGAATTTAAGACGTTTCCAGGAGTTTTGAAGGTATGGATAAGTTCTAAAAATCCGGTTCTCCTTATCTGGGCCATTAACTCCATACGGTCCAAGAAAGCTGGCACACTACCTTTAAAGCTCGTGAGCTCCCGCTTATCTCATTCCGACCTTAACTAACGCCTCCGGAAACGATTCCATGAGAAGAGAGCTCATCTCGTGCTGTTCAGACGTGGCGGCCTCCGCCCCGACGTCCGCCAGCGATCGGAAACGGCACTGCCTACACCAGTCGTACTCCACCCAGTGTTAGTATGCATTGCATATCAATCATACGCGGTTGAGAAGTTAATTAACCTTTAAACATAGTAATGCGGAGAGCTTGAGCCAACTTGAACGGCATATATCACCATTGTCTGCGATATACATGCGTGTAGAAATTATAGCAGCTGGGGTGGAGTAGCCATCGATAAATTCCCCCCGAAAAAAGTAACGAAACGCCCGACGTGAAACGTGTTGAACATCACAAATTACGATTTCTTTGCAGCATACGTTTTTCATTATAGTCAAGTACCAGCCGTTTATCGCAAGTAGAGAAAGTGAGTATATACTTTAAACAGCGATTTGTTGCCAAATGGCTGCTAATTCATAATCCCTGACTCGTGAAATAGGCCAGGTGTATTAGGGGAAGATTCTCCGTAGTATAGGCACTTCGCACAAAATTGTTCTTCCGATTAGTACCCAGAATGAGGGGCAATTAAACGCCATAAGTGCATCCCCTTCCTTAGTGTCCTTCCCTCTGTAGTCCTCACCTGTGTGGCTAAGTCGGCCCGAAGATAGAGGAGAGGAGGTCGTCCTCTCCTCGCCGTCGTGCGAGTTCCGACCCCAGGAGACGCTGCGTCTCTCGTCATGCTCCATGGCCGCTGAGGTAGACCACTGAAGCTTTAGTGACCGGTCGCCGGTCAGATACGAAACCGCCGAACTCCGGAGGAAGGGAGCGCCTCGCTGGACTCAGACAGAGACCATGACACTGGAACGAAACGGTATAATTAGACACGGGGATGCAGCCAAACTGCAGTCGCCGTGTAACAGCATCCTGTAAATTCACTTAGATGGTCGTATAACTACAAAAGTGATGGCTCCTAAATACACAGACCTTTTCAGACGGAACCGCCCCTCAGTGAAACAGCCTTATTTACAGGGAGGTATGGGGTAGAGGCACGAAATGCACTCTGCATATCAATAACATCTCTTTACGTCAACGAGCGTATTTGTGTGTTTACTGCTTCAAAAGGAGTCATGTATAAAGAGTCTCGATCCTAGTTTTCGATTTGGTGAACATACCTAAAATATAGCACCTGCATGCATATCAGCCCATTCAAGAAAAATAAATGACATATACGGGGTGAAGCTTTTTTCGAGACGCTTAAGATTCTGCGATCTAGACCCTAATTTGAATTGTGTAAGCAGCAGCACCACTATCAAGCTTCCGGTAGACGCAAATACATGGATTAAAATCACCCTGCATGTCACCTAGCACCGGTTGTTTTGTGCCTTCACATACAGTAGGGTGGTGGGTTATCAAGATCCACCCGGGAGGTCTCCTGGTAACACGGCCACCAATGTGACGTGCGAGGCTGACAAATACAGTCAGATATGATTCACATAACGGCGCCGCACTGCAGCAGAGCTACAAATGTGGCGCACGAGTGTCAAACATTGGCGCACGGCGACGGATGCCAGGTGGTTGCATGGCTGACAATATTCATCATTCAATATTGCAGGCTATCGGATCGATTGTTTGGTCGGACGTCGGGTTGTTATGGTTTCGACTGCCTGATAACACTTTCCAGGCGCTCAAAAAATAAGTCCGAAGTAAAATAAACTCGGCAGGAAAGTGGGCACTGTTCTGATTATGAACAAGTCTGTCATGAGCTATACGACTTTGGTCACATGCGGAAAACATGGGGATTACAGCAGAGAGCGGCTGTAGTCTGTAGGTGCAAAAAAAATGTGCGATAGGGAACGACAAATAATAGAGAAAGCTCCCGGTCACTCATCAACTGAAGATAAAGCACTCGAGATTACTGATAATGGCTACAACACTGATTTATGAATACGTATTTGTAACACATTTGCTCCCATCTTCGTTCATGCTTTATTGACTAGTGGATTTGTGCGCACGATAAGTATCAAACGAACACGGACGTTCGACATTTATTGCCGTTTTATGGCACTTGAAATACCACGGAAATTAGCGGTGAAATATGGTCAGGTTCTGACAGAGAAATACCTTCACTTCTGTTTTACACCTGACTACTTGCTATTTGGTTTTGAATGTGGTAGCGCGATGCCTCGTTACATGTCAATGTTTAAAAAGACGATAAATTAAAGTTAAATATGCACCTAAATTACTAGAGCAAAGGGTGTTATGCGGAGAACGGCCTGATTGCAAATATTGATTTTGGTAAGAGTGATATGTTAGGTACGTTACAGGTGAGTAAGTGGCAAAATTGGCCAGTGAGCTAGTGGAAATCGATGAAAATTAAAAGAACCCTCCATAAGTTGACATGATACCAGGTTCCGTCAATTAAAAAATTGCTTTAGCAGTTTGGTAGCTTTCAAGCACGCATGCCATTTCTCGTCAAGAAGTCCAGGAGCCGAGGCAGAGGAGACTAATCTCTCCCTCTTCAGCACGACGACGGCTCACGAGGACCTTGCCGTGTCGCGCGCGGAAGATTGTTGCAGGCCCCCCCCCCCAACCGTATAATAAACGGTTGGATATACAATAAACGGTTGGACCAAGGCCCTAAATACAGGTTGGACGCAGACGGGATTCGTTTACACGTAGCTTTGTTTTGCCGGGTCAAACTGTAGTAGGAGTTGCAGCCGTTATAGGATTTAATTATCCTGCAGAAGGATAATTTTGTTGTTGTTGTAAAAGTTACATATTTAAGTCGAAACATTTCACCAATGGCCTTTTTAAAACGTTCAACATGCCAAGTTCCAAGGCTCAGCGCTGCGAGGTCAGCATCCCTCTCTCGGGGCGGAACGCAGGTGCAGCGGCGGCGCGCTAAGCCGCTGAGCACGATCGGTATGCGTTTTTATCGTGTCACTCCAGCTCTGAGAGCTGCTGTGCGCGGACGTCCATTAGTTTCCAGGGCCAGACATTCCGACCGCCTCAGAGCCGGGCAAATGACAGTCTCTGGAAGAGTTCAGCAATCATCACAGCCCGATCAGTCGGCTGTTTCGGCTCTAATGTTCTGAGCGCTGATAGCGCTGCATAACCCAGAATCCAGATGATCAACAGACATAAGCGGTTGTGCATTAATTAGCTCGACTAATCGTTCCAACAAACCTGCAAAGTGCATATTCATGGATATCAAAATGGAACGTCTTCGGATGGAGTGGATCGATATTATAACCAACAATGTAGATGGAATGGAATAATAAATTTTAGATGGGTCGCTCACATTCACTGGTAGAAAGGTATGACAAGGATCAGATTTTAGTGTTCACGCTTCACTCGTGCATGGCATGGAGGTCAAGGTCCATCAAACCAAAACGTCACCGTGTAAGGACGGTCCATATATCACATTCACATCACGAACGCTTTATTCTTCTGTCGGGTCTAGTAGGTCTTACCTGCTGAAAGTTAAAACGCACTGCTTTACTTCACACACCACCTCACTCTTAGGCACGTGACCACTGCCTGCGCGGGCACCCTCCACGCTGTCCCGGGAAGCACTGGCGGCCGGCGCGAGTTTACGTTACCGGCTGCCGTCGTCAGGGACTGGTCGCCCGGGGCGGCAGGAATCAGCCGCCTGTCGCCACCTGACCTCTGGCGGGGAAAAGGTAAACTGCTGCTCTTGGTAGTCACCGCCAGACTGCATTCATGGCTCAAGTGCGTGGAATACGAGTATGGGCCTCGTGAACCGCGAAAATTCCTTTTCAATCTTCACTAGGTACCTTTCTTAGGTCGTAAGTTGAATTATTTTGCTACCTCACTCAATCTCGTCTTAAGCTCGCTTAAAAAAAAACTTATCAATGCTGTGATGTAGCTGCATGTCGCGATCGCTATTGGCTGTGATGGTGTGAGGCGTTCCCTGCGGTTACAAGTGGTCCTATGGAACATCCCCACCCGCTTTGGAGGGTCGAAAAAAAAACGTCGGTCAAGCTGTCAGTAAAACACGACTTCTGAAGTCCTGAGCATTGCACTTGTATTTGCGAGAGTTCAAAACGGCAATAATAAATGAATCTCGAGTTTGAGAGAGGATTCATGCATCTTTGAAAGAAGCGGAACGTGGGCCAGGTAACGGCCTCACAGTCCACATTTCACACAATTCAGCATTCCCTCAATCCTCAGCAGTTCAGCACACATTGACAAGAGGAGATAGTGAACTGTGATGTACGATTAAGCGTACAACTGTACATTTACAACTGTGACACTTAATCGTAGTTTATCACAAACGTTTTGGGCAGTCCCGATTTACATTGAACACTGCACAGCGGTGCAATAACTGACAATAGCAGTTCCACAGTTAATAATCTCCACAGAACACTTCGGTAACATATAACCCCGTCACCCACCCCACACCGCTCTCCCTGACTAGTCCACCTCACCGTCCGCCGGTTTCCCCGCTCAGTCACAGCTCATCGCCGCCCCGCGCGGTGTCGGTGCACTCACAGAGCTGTATGAGCGCCCACTCCCCGGACACCATCCAGCTGGGGTCACCCGCGGTCAGCGCCTCCCGTTCCGGGGCCAGGCCCGACACCAGGTCCGCCTTCATGGTCCGCAGCGCCATCAGCGGCGCCGGGTGGAACCCCTCGAGGGAAGCACAGAACCCCGTGCTGTGCGGCCAGTTCCGATCACCGAGTAGCTTGCGGTAGTTGAGGTCGCCCTTGAAGATGATCATATCTGCCCCCTGGAGGTGGGCGTACAGCTCCGGCGCCTCGCTGGCCATCCTGCTGAAGGGTAAGGGAGAGGTCCAGAAGGTATCCGTCTCAAACACCCACGTGCCGGCGTCCAGGTACCCCTGCCACCGCTCGGCGAGCCGGCGGAGGGCGGGTTTACCCTCGGCCGACTGCATGTGCTGCAGTGTGTGCCGCACGTCTGCCGGCGTGGTGTCCGAGACGTACCACGGGTGCGCCTTGATGTGGAACGACATCCGCTGAGCGATACCCAGGGAGGTGAGCAGGTCGGCCAAACACAGGTCCGAGAACAGCTCGAAACCGGCGTTATCCATCACAATGTCTGAAACAAGAGCAGGCGACATGATCACTGATCAGTTAACGACCAACAGGGAAGTCGGATCTTAGGAAAGTATGCTTAGGAAAGGTAGGTGGTAACGACAAAAACCAATGATCCTTTTCCATCTAACCAAAGAACCAAACTATAGACAATACGGAGGCGTTGGAAGTCGATGATTTCGCGTAAAAATCAACATTAAGACGAACGATGCGAATCGCTTACGACAAAGAAAGCTAGCTCATTTGACATAGATCCATGTGCGATAACACTTCAAAATGACATCGAAACCAATACCAATACCAATCAAACTGAAAATCATGTACCGTTCCCGTTTACCTACCGATTCTGACGTCGCGTTTGTCCCGGAGTCTCCGCAGCTGCGCGAACACCTGCTCACTATCATTGACCAGCACTCGGTGGTTGAGTTCGACCAGCTGCACCAGCGGAGACGCCTCCTGCGAGACGTGCGCCCCGGCACTGATCGACAGGTCGTTCTTGTTCGCCCACAGAGACATCTGTCGGGAAAGACGGATATTGTGATCTGCTGAGGTTCTGAGGGTGAACTACGACACATCGAAAAACATTGCAGTTTGTTGAATTGACGAAAAACATCATTTCATAGGAAACCATGTTCGCAGAAACACAAAGACTTACACAAAATAAACAACAGCTCATATAGAAGTTAAATTGCTTGAAGCAGCACCCGTCCTACACACAACTGTGAAATTCGCATACAAACACATCTCGACAGCGACAATAATAGACTAAACCTGCACGCAGTTTCGATGGGCCACTGCTTACCCCGATGAAGTCTGAGAAGGCCCGTTTGACCTGCTGGCCGGAGAGTGCCGCCGGGTCGGCCACCATCTCCAGCAGGTGTTCTCCCAGCAGCTCGATGGCGGCCATCGAGGCCTCCAGGGTGTCCCGCTTCTGCTGACCAAAGTAGTCGTAATCCCGCAGCTCGCCGCTGTCAGCAGACGCGACCAGAAAATGGAGTCAATCGGGTAAAATGACGAATGTCGTACGGGATTCCTTAGTTCGATATGGATTTACACCTTGCAATACAACATTGCAGTTGCACATTGCAGTTAGTGTAACATATTAAGAAAAAGGGACGTCCGAGGGAGGAACGGGTGCGTTATCGCAAATCAATTTGTAGAACTGCGATCTGAACGATAAGTACGCTTGTGTTGACTTTTCATTCCATCTCATCGGTCAGTTACCTATTTTCGAGTATTTCCCGGACGCGTCGGTACATGTAGCACTCGACGAAGAGCCAGGGCGCGTCAAACCAGACGGGCGGCTCTCCGTCGACCCACTGCTCCTCCAGCAGGCGGTTCCACAGCGGCACGTCGGCGCCGGCGCCCGCCAGCGGCTGCAGCGGCTTGTTGCGCTGCATGGTGCTCTTGAGCTCCGACAGGCTGCCGTTGATCTGTTTCAGCTTCTCCTTGGCTGCCTGGTGGGAGGAGGATGTGGGAAAATGGTGGTGGGGCTCAGAAAGGGGAGTGTCGCCTCCACTGCCCCAATTGCAGGATGGCCCATTAGCTATGGAGGATTGAATATCAATACTTATCATTAGTAAATTACATAATAGAAATTACTTCAAACATTAGGAACAAAAAACTTTTAAAGCATAGCCGTTCATGACTTTCCTAAAAAAGTGAACTTAATAACCATTGTCTTATTATACCTTCCTTTTAGCATTTAAATGATAGCATAGGACTACTTACATCTCCATATTGGTTCTCTATGTTGATCTTCTCTCTATGAAATAGATCTATCACCTTGGTAAGAATGACTGGCATTCTTTCTGAGATAGTCTTGTAAGCAAAGGACCTGAAACAGATCATGAATAAGTGCATGACATTGTCTGTAACCCAGATATTTAATTACAAGGAGCCAATTACTGCACAACAATGGTAAGAATCAAGAGATGTCTTTTTATGACGTTAAATTGAAGTGAAAAACCAGAAGCAGTAGTAGAACTTACCCCTTGTAGCTGCCCCTTAGGACATCTGGTAGCTCAGTGTTGGCCTGGCCTCCCATTGTTGAAAGCAGAAAATAAAGCAGAGCTAGTGTACCAGAACAAAAACCAGAGTTCATCTGTAAAGAAAAGAAAAAAGTTACCTGTGTCACATGTGACATTAGGTATGGTATAAGGGTAGAACAATGGTTAGTTACATGTGATGCATTATAGCATCATAACAATACATTATGTCTGATGCTAAAAACTTATCAAACAGCACCAGAGTAATCCTAGCAGCCATATACCAGCAATAAGACAATTACATCTTATTTAATTTTGCTTTCATTAGGCATCTGCTTGTGATCTGGATGGCATTTGTTAATTGATTTCTTTTGATGAAGTGAGTAGAAACAACCTAAACCACACCCATGCTACCAACCACAACTGTCAACTGTGACAGACATATTAACATTTTTTCCACAAATTTGGCTGTAATTAAAATACAGCTGAAAAGTTGAATGATTGTTTCTAACAACAATTGATCAAAATTGATGAAACTACAAAGGCATATGCTATATCATAAAAGAAGTATGAGATTCCATAGTCAGCAAGATATAAGTTAGAATAACGAGTTAATCTGACAAGTACCTATCTGCCTAGTCGGCTAGTCAAAGACTTGAAAGTTAATTACCAACTTGCCCATCCAGGACAAAGCAAGTCATGGTTGTTATTGATATGGTCTAATGCATTGTTATTTTGCCTTGCGTCAATTCAATATTTCTATTCATTTCAACTGAAATTGAACTGATTTTTTATTGGAAGAATGCTCTAAAATCCAAGACACTGTTCTATTGTTCAGCATTAATATAATTGAATCCTTGTAAACCGGCTAAATACACTCAACAGTAAAAGATGCATTGATGATGAAAAACATGATTCTGATAATATGAGCCCATTCAATGTGAAAAAGTAATTCTCAACAGAAACAGACATCGACCCATCTCACACACACAACCCGTCACACGTCCATCTCGGTGACAAAATGCACAAATGTCACAAATGCAAGCATAATATGCAGTTTGATGACGTCAAATTTTTAAATGATCCTCAAACATAGCTAATTTATTCAAATTGATTCATAACTAAAATGATGTAAGTTCAATATTTATTTGTTAGACATTTCATTGATTGGATATCTTTCTTTATGACAAAAATATTTGAAAAGTATATATGCTAGTCATAATAAATGTTTTTGTCAAATGTTTACAGCTAGCCCTACTCGCAGCATAGGCGCTTTTTATGTCTCATTTTTAGTCAGATGTAGGCAGCTAAATAATATTTTAGTGGAATCGCTTTGATACAATTTAAAGCCGAAGTGAGATGTTTTGAACACCACTTTTCCAGCGGGCATAGGCAATGCCGCAATGGCCCAGGAATTCATAGAGATGGACTTCACACAGGCTGCCTTTCTGGATCCGCTAATGTATGTAGGTAAGTTAAGTACATAATTGACATTAGTCACAAAGTGCAACGTAAGTCATAGCGAGTCAGCGTAGGTCGGTGGAACGCAAGCCGAAGATCCCGCTATTCATGGGCACCGATAAACCTAACAGTACTTTACCGTCACTTCACCAGTTCGGGGCCAGGTGTCCCAGCAGATGGTGTAAAAATCCTCAGAACGGCCTGCGTGGTGCGTGGGCCGCTCGCACTTCGTGTCCCACGGCACCGCGCTGGACCGCTGGTCGTTTACTCTGCCCCTCCCTTCCTCCTCCCTCGAAAGTCAAACACATCCACAGCTGGACGCGATTATCGTCTGTCTATGCACTAATTACGTCGGGACGATGCTTATAAGCTGTAGAGTGTCAATTAGAGAGTCATACGTCGATTAGAAAGAACAGTCTAAACGGTTCAAACGCTAATGCCGATTAGACAGAAAAGCTCTGCAGATAATAGCGACATGAGCGCAGGACAGAACGAGAATGCGGCAGCTTTTTCCGTGCTAAGGGGTTTGTAGGTACTGCTACCCATTTACGTTTACGCTGAAACAGCCTAATACCTATGCGAAATCAAAACATTTAAATACGGTGAATGTTCCCTATATTGACACCACAATCCATTCCATACGCATCAGTACATTTGGACACTCCACCGGTATATCAATAATGTAGGTATATTTCAAAGATATGCCAGCGATTGATAGCGCCTGCAGCCCGGCCAATGATCCACGACAAACAGCAGGCAAAGCATCACGAATCACGAACGTAGGCGCTTTTGCGAAAGCCGCAAAAAGAAAGACTGAAGACGGCCATAAGCACTCGACAGAACCGCACTAAAACATGCAATACAGTTGCTCTTTAACTAAGTTACCAATCGCGATTTGTATCTTATTTTACCAAAGCCGACTTTATTCTTCTTTAAAAACTTTCGTAATTAACTACACACACCTGTCACGCAGAAATAAATTCGAAAATTATAAACAGAGCATCAAAGCTGACCGATGTTTGTCATTGTCTTCGCTAATCGCTATAATCATTTACAGACTTTATCAGCTAGTGCCTACTCCTACTGGTATTAGAGCATTCACAAAATAGGGACCCATCCATCATTTCCCCCTTCCTTTTCCACGCTCATCGCAGACTGTTGACTACGCAAAGCGGCACCGGCAAGCTTCGTTCCACATCTGTGTACATTTCTACTTGTTAATGGCGCTGTAAAGTATCTAGAAGCACGGCAAACTTTGGCACAAAAGCAGTATTTCAAGCACTGGCATTGGGCACACACATCGTCTCAAAACCTATTTCGTAATAAATCTGAAAATATGTACACCTATTCCACCCATGGATGCGACCTATCTCGGCCCTTTGACATTAAAGCGGTAAAATCGCGAATGCAATAAAATCGATTCAGACTTTTAGACCCGGAACAACTACAATTACGGAACCACACATGTGACATATAAGTGCATGTATGGCCTAAACTTTTGAATTCATTTTAAAGGGACCCTCCCACCTTCAAAAAAGTTTATGAATTGGCATGAAAGTGATGTCGCTCGGTTCAGAAAGAGCTAAAACGAATATTTACCAAATTTCACCGAAAAATATTCACCGGTTTTCAAGATATTAGACTTTTACTTTTGTTTACTTTTTTGGTATCTCCGCTGTTTCTAGCGACTTTATTTTAGAAGTGCGGCGTTTGCGGCAGATGCTGCGCGCAAATAGCATATAACACCGCGTGCTACAAAACGTTTTAGTCAAACATTTAAAAATCGTTAGATATCTGCGCTGACGTCACACATTCAGAGGGGTATTCCTAAGCATTAGCCCCTCTGAATCAAAACGCTGCAATTTTGAAATTCAATATTTCCGATTTAAGGCATTTCTCGATGTTGTGAGTGCCGAAACCGGTTATTGTGAGCCAGGGACCCCATTTTGGCTATCTCAACTCAAATCTAATGTTAAGGTGGGAGGGTCCCTTTAAAAGAGATAAAACGCAAAAATAACCCGGAACCACACATCACACTGTAGACTGTAGAGCCGACATTCACAACTTAGAATAAGGACTATAATTATGAACGTCCATAATTCCGATATTTGAAATTTAGAATAGCTTCAGTACGACACGATCACTTGAAACATCACATCAAGGTGTTGTACACCAGTCTAGCTTGCCGTCTTCTAAGTAAAAGCAGTCAGTAAATCACACCAGTATGAAAGAAGGCGACACTCATTGCACGACACTATTCACCATTCCCCTCTGCATCTTTGCACGAGAATGAGAACAACTGCTCCAATTCTAATCAATTGCAGTGTTCAACCGGCCCGACTTTTTGTGACAGAGCCCGAGCCACCGATCTCGAAGTACGACGACAGGGAGATCAGACGACTTTCTCCATTTATGAGTACATGTTGTGTTCCATCCAGTCCTCCAGAGAGAACGTCGCCTTGTTTGTTTGTCTCGGGTCTTTGTCTTTGAAGATTTCTGCAACAACAAATATTGATCATGATCTTTTGAGAAATTCCATGATGCGGGATCATTTCTGCGATCATCGTTCCACGTAAATAAAAGTTATGACGCTAAAAGAATAACTTATTCAGTCGGTAGCGGTAAGCAGTAATACGTTATGTCCGCAACGCGCCAAACGTACCCCAGTTTTAACCCGCGCCCCAGTGGCGGTCTCAGCCAACTTCGCCCTAGTGAGGGGGGGCATATGTTACCACCCACCTCTAACTCAAAAACTAAAAGGACTAGAAAGACGTGGTAAAAAGCAGTCGGTAGCTCTCAATGCGTACGTTTGAAAGTATTTCAGTCATTTTTCACCTTAGAGCAATATTGGGGTCACCAGAGGTCATCAAAGGTCAAAATTTGCCAATTGTCATTATATTTTTCAGAAAATATGCCGCTATCTCAGGAACTATGGTAGCTAGAATGACGCAGGGAAAAGCAATCGATAGCTTTTGAACTCTTCTTTTGAAAAGGTCATTATCAATATTGACCTCGGGTCAACGGTTTGGCCTCCAGAGGGCAAAAAGTCCAAAAATAGCTGTTTTTACGAAAAGTGTTTTTCGACAATAACTTTCGACTATAAAAAGCCACGACATTTCTATTGCCAGAATCGTGTTCTTCTCGCCGAGACGCGTCGAATGAACTATAATTTGACCTTGAAAGGTCAAGTTGAAAATTTGACCTCAGGTCAAGGTCATGACCTTACCGGAAAAGGTCATGTTGCATATCAGTCGATGCATCTCAACAAGGCAAACACAATGAGACCATCCCCAGCGTTCTATCTCTTTCCAATCGCGAGTTATTGGCAAAAAACTGTTTGTAGCCTCAAGTGACCTCGGATGACCTGTCTAGAGGCTATCAGCAAAAATGACACCTTGGTCATCACGAGTGGACTAAATCATTGTGATTCTGAAATATTTGGACTGTTCCGATGCGTACACACGGATCTAGAGGCATTTTCATTTTTCTCCATTGACTTGTAATGGAAAGGTTTCGCCACTGACCTGACCTTAGGTCACGGATATAAAAAATCCGAGATATACAAATTGTAGGCGCCCATAACAGCATGCAATCCACCAAGTTTGAACCCTTCCTGACAAACACTGCAGGCTGGACATGATTGCAAACTTTCTTTTAGGCTTGGTCAGTTAACTTGACCTGGTGACCTGACCTGACATGACCTGGGGTCAAAAATTTCACACATTGTCCAAAATTGATGTACCAAAAGCTACCCCAAGCGGCGCGGCGCTACGCGCCGCGGTTTTTTATTCACACGCAAAAAACGCGACAGGGTGGTAACATATGCCCCCCCCCCACTGGGGCGAAGGTTAACCTCTAGTCCCTTTGAACAACAGTGCTTTATCAAGACGATATATTATACCCAAATATGTCATATCATCGATGAATATCGATCAGCGACCTCAACCCAACCGCCCACTTACCGATGCATGTCTTCATCTTCACGGCACAGGCCATGAAGTCGTCGAAGGCCACCCTTCCTTCTCTGTCACCGTATCTGCGCGGGGATTAGAAAATTAGAGACCTCCACGAAAAGTCATAAATATTACCAACATATACATATAATAACATTATAATAACATATATAATAACATAAGAACACCGGAACACATATCATATATCATCAGAAAATTAAATGCGATGAACATTTTAACCGTCGAGTTCGCGAAATTTCCTAGCGCATTAAAGCTGGCTGTCATAAATCTATTTTTGATAAGGCTTCAGTCTCGAACCCATCTATCGGCCGCAGTTAGCACCAGACCCAGCCAGTCACTTTTCCAGCCTTCCGCCCTCCACACACACTTTCTGACCTGTGCATCAGCAGGTTGAGCATGTTGTTGTTGACCCGGTAGCCGGACTCGTTTAGCGCCGCCCGTAGCTGGAAGCCGCTCAGGTACGACGAGCCCGAGCGGTCGTGCTTCTTGAAGACCGACTTCCACAGGCGGATGCTGCTCCAGAGCGATTTGAACTCCTCCAAACCGAGCTGTCCCGAGTTGTCGACGTCCAGCAGAGCGACCATGGAGCGAACAGTGTCCTTACTGAACCCGTCAAACTCGAACTCTGCCGGGCAGAGAGGACGAGAATGAGAGTGGCACTGTACCGCCTCGATCGGTGCCATTTGCTTCGTGTAGTCAAATGCTTGTATAACATACAAACACCTATATCAGGAGGCTTTGCTTCGCTAATCAAACGTCGGCCAACCTTTTTAGCACCCCTTATCAGGTTGCATCTTGTTCCAACTGTCGATATCGAGGCTTTATCAACACAACGGCACTCGATAAATCCAACATATCACTATAATTACAAATATAGCGGCGTTAGATAGGGCGAACATAATTTTAATCCCGAGCGACTATCTGAACTGAACGGTATCATCGTCGAACCTTTCTTCAGGGCGTAGTCGAGCACCTCCTTGAGCTCTCGCCAGTCGACCTCGAGGTTATCTCCGGCGATTTGTGTGAAGAACTGCCGCACGGCGCGGTCGTACTCGGACTCCTGGCTCAGCTCCGGCGTGATCTGTCCGTCAGGAGAGGTCACGAATTAGATACGGACGGTTAGGTATAGCTCGTGTGGTGACGGATCGCACAAGTCATAGAGCCATTTCGCTCCGCACGATATGCAGCTTGTCGATATCTGTGGAGCTAGACGCTGGAAAATGAAATATAAATTTGTTATGTGCCTAGATTGCCCTAGATCCATAGATTTAGATACGACAACATGCTGTTAACCCTCGCCGGCACAGGGGGGGGGGGGGGTTGATGCAACCCCCCCTAAGCTTTTTCGCGAATAACTCGCGTAAAAAGCGGCCGATCGCGACCAAACTTTCAGTACCCTCGCATTGATCAATTTTACACCTACCCTGAAAATTTCATGACCCTGACCCCAATGACCTTTGACCTGTGACCTCTTTTCTGTGACCATGTTTGGCCGAAATCGCGGTTCGGTGCATGTCGGCTCGCATTAGCCGCGCGTTTGCAAGCTTTTCGTGGTTTCAAACGTTCAAACATGTGATTTGATGTTGCTCCCATGCATTAGGGTGGGTGTCAAGGTCACCTGAAGGTCAGGTCAGGTCATTGACCTTTGGTGACCTCGGGTGACCTCGGTTCACTTTTTCGAGTTTTACATGTTTCTAGGCTAGTTTTTGGAGCTGAATTCGAATTAAGCAACCATTTGAACATTTACGAAGTGGTTTTGGTGCCTCCGTAACATGTTACGAAGCTGTCAGAGGCGGTTGACACGTATTACGAATACCCGTCACAACCCCTACCGGTTGACCTGACCTGACCTGACCCGACCTGGTCTAAATGCTTAAAGACATCATCTATGATCAAAACTAACACGATATTCGTGATCAGCACCCCGGAAAACCACATAGCAGCCACACTTTACGACTTTCTAACAGGTCCCGATTTTCCCGGTTTTCGGGTCATTGACCTGACCTGGAAGGTCACCCGATGACCTAGGACCTTAAAATTGGGTATCATCGGCTTCCTCTCGTGACGGGCAACACGCTCGTTTTTTCCGCGAAGCTCTAGCTCGATCAGGGGCCAAACGCGAGGGGGGGGGGTCGTACCAACCCCCCCCCCCCGTTGTGCCGTCGAAGGACTCAAAATGGCCTGTGCCGGCGAGTGTTAAGTTCTTTTGTGATGCATAGATGTTAAAGCAAATTTTGGAGAGTTATCTGTTTAATTAGCTGAGAACAAGTGAGCCATTTCGGATAATGTGCAGTGATAACACGTGCAGCCAGCATGCCTACGTTTTAGGGAGCATTATTGTACTTACCGGAGCATGCACGGTTTCTTGACAGGACCAAGGTGTATTTCATGGTAACATTCACAACAAACACTCATTTTAATTCACGTTCATTTACTACATACAAATGACTAGCATGCTTTGGAATGAAATGCGATATGAATATCCAGGGTCCTTTATATCACAAAACAGAGGCAAGGAGAAGCTGCGATGAATCAAACGAATATACAGGGATGCATGCTTATCACCCATTTACACAATCAGGTGGGTAACTACAGATGCACATTGGCATAATTCCGAAAAAAGGCGCCACCCAGGGCATGTACCGTGATAAAAATAGAATGGCTCGATATTTATACACAAAGGAATGCAGCGTTCGAGCCGACCAGCCCAAGTCAATTACCTAAGCGTTCTAAAGCTGATGTCCTCGGGTTCGCATTTTTTACGAGTTAATAAGGGGAATAGCGATATGGGGGGGGGGGGTGCTACCTCACTGATTGTTCCTCCTTTCACTCAACTCACCACATGTATTCGTACCGAAACTCTTTCATCGAAGACCTACGAGAAGCATTAGGAAACCAAGTGAGAAGTTAAAACTGTCGGGAGTCGCTACCGTCATTTCCAATATGCACTTAAGTCAGTAAATGATTAAAGTAAATATTGAACAAGTGAATGAATGCTTGATGGGTCAGGAAGGGTTAGCGGAGTCATTACCGACTACGTTAGTGTGTGTAAGTGAAAGTAAGGAGACATATAATTGAGATAGTTGAGAGAGACAGAGTTTACGGTGAGTTTAACGAGCGTGCTTATCTGCACCTAATGTTACACAAGCTGCACGGGTATACAGAGGTCTATTGTCCGTTGTAATACCCCAAAATTCCCGATTTAACTAACCCAAACCCTCTGACGCCCACCTGTCTAGTGTGCGTCCTCACCTCATCGGAGACCTGTCCGGGGCCGACTTCCTCGTCGTTCTCCTCCATGTTGTTGCGCTTCTCGGAGAAGATACGGATGAGAAATTCTCCCTCTTCGTTCGGCTCGAAGGTGCTCGGCACGATGCAGTAGCTACCCGGAGGCAGCTTGAAGCGGCACGACACCTCGCGCAGGTTGATGAAGCTCGGTGCACGCGCCACCGAACAGTTGTACCGGAAGAACTGGGTGTCCAAAGGCTTGGGCGCGCTGTCCGGATCATTCAGCTGAGAGGGAGGGGTGAAATGGCGTTAGACAGCTCAAATTAAAACGTTTGAAATGGGTACTACACCTCGAATAAAGCTAATATAGAATTCCCGATGTAGCATAACATTTGTGCACTTCAGGGTATGTAGATATCGTAATGGAGATATCGTAATGCATTGAGCGGATATTTCAAGACGCCGCTTGCAGAAAAGTTATTCCGACGAAACGCCTACATTTTTCAAATACAATTCTTTGAAATAATTTGGTAGCTGCCGTTTCCGTAAAAGACAGATGGAATAACCTAGCCCAGCCGTTTCCGTACGTGAGAGATGAACCAATCTAACCCAGAAGTTTCCGTACGTGATAGATGGACCAATCTATCCCAGCCGTTTCTGTACGTGATAGATGGACCAATCTAGCTCAACCGTTTCCGTACGTGATAGATGGACCAATCTAGTTCAGCCGTTTCCATACGTGATAGATGGACCAATCTAGCTCAGCCGTTTCCGTACGTGATAGATGGACCAATCTAGCTCAGCCGTTTCCGTACGTGATAGATGGAGAAGCCGATGGTGAGGCAATCGAGTCCGAGCCGCCGCTGGGCGCGCCGGTTCTTCTGCATCACGGCGATAATCACGGTGCACTTGCGCTCCTCGTCGTCTTCGTCGACGTCGTGAAGCTGGATCCGGTACTGGGGGTTGTGCGCGAACGTGTCTGACGGGAGATGACGGTCAGTCAGCGTCAGCCAATCCTTGTCTGATGTCATGGTGAGTTGAGAGTTTTATTGTGACGGCAATATGTAAAATATCGTATCGCGAAGTATGTTTCACAATGTGAAATTCACATACATGTCTCGATTGCGAAATAATAATTTGATAAAACAAATTTTTATCATTGACTGACTGAATTATTTTGATTGAAAGTCAGATTAGTTTGAACCTAGGCGCATTTCTGTAAAGAAAGCAATAGGCATAAATGGATTAATAAATAAATGTGCACGAAACAAGACATCACGACACACATCCGTAGCCCTCGGCCGTCTTACTGATGTAGTTTCTGCAGCCGCCGGCGGTGGCGCCGCGCACCCAGGCACCCTCGAACACGGACATCTCCCAGCGCCGGGAGGCGTCGTCTTCATCGTCGTCCAGGCTGTCCGGGCTCAGGTTACAGATTTCCAGGCGCTGCCGGTCATAGGGCGGACGGCACGGTAAACACGCGACGGGGAGGGTCAATAGTAATTAGGTGGAAAATGGTAGGATGATGAACGTCGTTATAGGGCGGATGAGGGTTTTTATTGGTGATTTTCTGATTGATGACGAAGTTTGAGAAAATGAAATAAGCAGTGCCGGTCAGGAGCTGATAAACAGTGAAGGAGTGATTATTTACCTGGAAGTTTCGGGTGAAGTCCTTGAATGTCATCCAGAATTCTCCATCGGCATCGAACGTTAGTCCGAGTTCCCTCCGGGTCTCCTCCGGAATATAGTTCCACTCCGGAGACCTGAAAAAAAGACACACGATAGCCGGCGTTAGGTAGGTATCGTCTCTACTTCGAGGTGAAAATCGTTCATAACACACATTTTGACTATGACTTGTTCAACAGCAATCGGATATATTCACCCATTGATAGCTCACATGATGGTCGATACGAGTGAACAAGTGCATGACTGTGCACCGTGAGGTTACCAGACGAGTGGATAACGTACCTACAACACAGAGTTCATGAACTATGCTACGAAGCTGCTGAAAGGTAGGCTGTGCCGCACCACAGCGGTAACTGAATGTTAGGCTGTGCCGCAGTACAGCGGTAACTGGATGTTAGGCTGTGCCGCAATACAGCGATGACTGGGGGTAGACTGTACCGCAACACATCTTGTACTGGGCGATAAGCCGTTGATGAATGGCGATTGTAAACACGTGTCGTTACCGTATTAATTATATTGAAGCCACGGTGGGCTTATTTTCTTGACTTTTCCGGTCAATAATAATTTACCCATTTTATCCAGGCTATGACTCGCGGCTAAGTTCGGCCGACTTATGGAAAACATTCTGAACGCTGTCCTGTCACTTGTTCTTTTCAACATGACATTCACCGACATTCACCGGTGTCATGCAGAGACAGTTAGCCATGCTCCTGAGCTCTCAGTACATGACCAGGCCGATGATTTCCGACGTTTTGGAATGTTATGACAGCACATTGGTGTGTTTTAATTTCTCCGGCCGGCCGGCGGGGCGGAGGTGTTGTGCCTGGACGCGGGCCAGGCCGGCTGTCGACGCACCTGGCTGACCCACCGGCCCCTGCCGCTGCGAGGCGGGTCGGACCGCCGCCCCAGGGCGGGGACCGGCACCGCCCTGGGCCACACCCATTAAATGGAAAAAGGGGCGACGTTGGGAGAGGCTGGCTTCGAATTTGTGAGGAAGCAAGCAACAGGAAAGACATTAATTGTCATTAGGGTCGCTGGTTTACTGTCACATGATGACAGTGCGAAAGTGATGAAAATAGAACTAAAAAAAGGAGACTTCGGGCGGTGGAAGTACGAGGGGGTATCGGAAAGTTCTGATCATCACATAGAAGATGTAGACCGATTTTGATGATTTTTGGTTGGTATTATATTTGGTTCTTAAGAACAATGTTCCCGCAAAGAGAATCCTGAGAAGTGGTTTTATCTTATGTAGGAGAGACTTAGAAGTAAAAAAGATGAGTATTGGGCCCATTGAGGACCGAACCGTCATCCAACTAATGCATTTGAAACGGTATCACATTGAGAAAATACATCAAGAACGTGAAATCAGTTTATGGCGAGGAAAGCCCATCTCATGCACTTACCGAAAAGGAAGAAATAATTTTCAACTTGGTTGCATGGCCCTTGCAGGGGAGTCAAGAAGTGAGTGGCTACCAGTGACTGACAAGGTGGTGACTGTGAAGGAAGTGGAGGACCTCATCCTTACAGATCGTCGTGTGACCTTTCAGATGATTGTGCAACAGAAAGGTCTCAATGCTGGCAGTGCCTGAAAATATTATCAGCGAAGAACTACAGACGATAAAGGAGTCAGGTCGCTTAGAAGTTCGTGTGTCTACTTTGTTCAAGAGAAAAATGCGTCTTGGCCCTTCGAAATCAAAACTAGGCCTTTTTTAGGAAATTGAAGACATCTTCGATAATTTGATGACTTGTAACGAATGCTGGGTCTATGTGCATGATCCAGAGACAAAAAGATGATCAAGAAGTTTAAGCACGGCACATCTGTCCTTCTTAAAAGGCGAAGATGCAGAAGCCGATATGGAAGGTCAATGCTATCAGTGTTCTGGATCTGGCGTAGGATAGTCATTACCGACTGTCTTGATGATGGTCGGATAATGATAAGCAAGCACCACTGCACACTTTTGAAGAAGTTGCGAGATGGCCTCAAGCAGAATCGCCGCAAAAAAGCCCAAGAAAGATGTTTTATCCGCACCGACAGCGCTCCCGCCCATTCGTCCTGAGCTGCGATTGAAGGAAGAACATGATGTGGACATTAAATCCTACCGCATCTAAGAAATTCACCTGACCGGGTATTAACTAACTCTTGCTTGTTACGGGAGATGAAGAATCCACAGTATGGCCGGTGATTTAAGGACAGAAATGACGTCATTGATGAGATGGAGCAGTGATTTACGGGACATTGCGAAGGTTCTACAATGACCGCCTGAGGCAGCTCAAGAAACGATGCAATAAGTTTGCGGTCGTGTGTGGTGACTTGTAAAGGAGTAATGAACATCATGTAAAAAAATCAAATTTCTATCACATCTCATTCGTGGTGATGATCAGAACTTTTCGATACCCCCTCGTATATCCTATCGCTGAAGACACCACTAGTCGCTCAAGTCTGCATTGTTCATCCACATCTTATCGTTCATGTACCTACCCGCTATTTAAACAGGCACCATGACTCATTCTTATATCAGCAACGCGGCTAAGAATGGCATGATAGCCAGGCCTTGGCCCTTGCCCAGTTGAGATAGCTCCCAAACCCGGCCAACCCCCTCACTCACTTGTCCGAGAAGGCGCCCTTCCACTCTGCCTCGTTCCCCCACGGGTTTCTGATGCGCACCATGGGTATTTTGCCCTGGACCCGAGGCGTCTCGATATCGGCCAGACAGGCCTTGGTCACCGAGTAGGCGTGGCCCTTGATGAGGCCGTTCGACATTTCCGCCTCTGCCACGTACGGGTCCGGCTGTGGGAGGGGGGAGGGGGCGGACGCAATCAGAATACGATATAAAATGGAACGGGTGAGAGGGAATGCAAGAAAGATTCACTTTACAATGGAAAGACAATAAGGCGTCATATAGCAAGGGAGCATGTTGGAATAAACATAAATCTAATACTCTTACCGACCACCATTTTTCCCTCCATTTTTCTCTTTTTTACCTCGATGGAGCAGCTCATGAGCGACTGTCGCTGGTTGGCCTTCAGCATGATCTGGAACAGGTTCTCTGGGGCCTGTTCAATGTCGTACATCTCGGTGACTCCGCCGCTGAAATCCTCCATGGCCTCACAGGTGGTGCCGCCCTTCAAGGCCTCGTACGATCCGTGCAGTCTGAAGGATAACGGAGCGGATTAAATGGGCAATATGGGTTGATGGGGTGACTTACCGTTTTACTAAGCGAGTATTGATTATAGTGAATTAATACATACTTTACGGTGCGTTCACTGGAGATTAACCGTGCGTTAATTCGAAGGTAGCCGTGCACCAATTTAAATTGGTGCACGCGCGTGCAGTGATGACTTTCTCGACTGAAGTTTTTCGGAAGGGTCATTGACTTTATTCTAAGATTTCCCATAAAGGGCCCTTTTTAGTGGCATGGACTAGGTTTAATTTTAATTTAAATTCGCACCGTTAAGCATGTATTAATTAGTTTAACACATGGTTTCCGTGCATAAATGGTTTTAACGCACTCGTGGATGGAATGGAGCACTTGTGCGTTAATGCACTCGTTTCACTCGTGCATTAACACACTCGTGCTCCAATCCATCCACGTCGTGCGTTAAAACCATTTACACACGGGAAACCATGTGTTAATATATATTAAACCGTCTTCTTTCAATGAATTATTCTGCCTTTTATGACAATGCTGTATACTTATATGACATCCCGATTCACGTAAATATGCGAGGTAGCATTGTTCAGAAATGTTTGCTTTGATGATCCTAGACGTTTCACACCTCCCGTTTCCCGTTTCTTAATAAAACAATCGATCTTCACTTCAATGATCAGAGATGCAAAGCTCCCCCATACCCGTCCTGCCGACTCACTTGGCGTATGCCTTCTCGAGGAGAGCCGACCAGAACTCCCTGTTGTCCTGCGAGTGCATGAAGGCCAGCTGGCCGTGGTAGGTGGGGAGACGGTCATCGACCACCACGTCCACCCACCGGCCGTACTGCCAGAACCTGACGGAGAGGCACGACGGAACAATATCTGAGACCAGCGGCGGAGAGCACAGGACAGGGTTGAGCCGTAACTAGGTCATGAAGAGGTCAGCTAGGATGTAAAATGCTTCTTAAATGTGATTATGCTGAGCGTTAAAAGCTGTGTGTTTTACACGTCGTTGTCCATTTCACAGACGAAGTGAAACAATAACAAACTCAAAAATAAAAATTAAACACAGACCTGCATTTGGCAATACCGTAAAAGCTATCACATATTCGTCAAAACATAATTTTATATTTGACATGCTTGTATTCCGCGTGAGTTTGCTATCTAATTCTGTACCTACCGTCAACCCAAATCTATTGATGCTCACACAGAGGATAATTTACCATCGGTTGAACAGGGCTGTTTACTTGTTCAGCTGGTGTTTATATTGGGATGTTTGCCGGAGACGCCGGGAGTCTGAGGACCACCGCTGTTCAGAGGCCGTTAAACATGGGCTAATGAAGCCTGGACGGTTGGGGTGGGCAGAGGACGCTTGGGATAAGCAAGAGGGTTCATTTTGGGGTCTTACAAGTCGTACGTTGCAGCATCATCGCTATGAACTTCTGGATCTGGTTTTGCGTACATAGGTTATCGTTTTTCAATGCATATTATGACCGTATAAGATCTCGACTTACCCGAAACTGTTATCTAGAGGCACATGCCTCGTCATCACCTACCTGAAGTGGAAGATGCCGGCGTACTGGTCGTCCATCTCCTGGTCGCTGGGCACGATCTGCGCAAACAGCTCCTGGTTCAGTGTGATGTTGGCCACAGCGGCCAGAAGCCAGCAGTCGCCTAAACGGAGACGGGAGAAACGTGAGGCGATACGGTCCATCTTCTTCGAAACCCACCGGGATAAGATAACGGTTAATAAGTAAAGTAAATAAGTTATATCGATGAATATCTTATGTAATGCAAAGAGACCAGTTACCGGCAATCCATCCTTCTAAAAACATGTTTGTTAAAGATAACGTTGAAACAATGTAATAGAAGGAAGGTAATTGAATTAAACATTACCAGAAAGATAAATTTGCTAGCTCAAGATTAAATCGTTACCTAGTTCTCCCTGTTGGACATCAAACCGAGAAGCGCCTTTCAAGATGAACTTCGGGTTGCTGCAGATTTCCTGAAAAAAATCACCCAATTAGCCGTTTTCAGTGTCAGCCTATTTCAGACCAACGATGCCCACTGAATTGTGTGAATCGTTCACGATTTTCTCTATACCTTTCAGTACTAACGTCACCGACCTGTCGCTTTGCACGGTCAACACGGTTCGGTGATTGGTGTATTCGGTACAGTAAACACACGAGCTTTATCGATCTCCAGCGATATGGCGGTAAATTCCAATTTCCTTTTCCAGAGCACTTTATTTTAAGGAACCATGTAACTAGAAAGGAGAATCTATGTGGAGCCAGCTGGCCGTGCGAGATCGATGAAACATTTTAGGATGTCCGAGTAAATAAATTGTGTATGTTCAGTTCACAGTTCACTGCGCGCCGCGCCCGTGGTCGGCTGCGGCGCTGGGAGCTCCGCTCGCTCCCCTTCCCTTACCACTACGCGCCTCTCCTGAGTGACTGGACTGAGTGATTGAGCGTGAATGTGATTGCGAGTCGTGAACGAGTGGAGCCGGTGAACCGACTATCTGGTGATCACTGCGATTGTGATACGAGTGGCTGTGATTGACGGCAGTGTGGTTGCATATGGCGTGTGTGTGTCTGTGTGCGTGGCGAGTGTCTGGTATATGTATAGGTGTGTGATTTGACTTTTTATTGTCTTTTACCCTGGTCCCTGACGTATATTTTTTTTTTACTCGCTATGACTTTAGACACGGAATAACCACAGTGTATGTGGAGTGTCTGCCTACGTCAATACAATACAATACAATACAGTATGGGGAATGTGTTATCAGATGAAGCAGTTTCGACTAGAAGTTCGACAGTCCCAGGCCTTGGTCAGTCTGGGACTGACGTGAGGTCGTTTTTACTCAAATCACCGTGAACAGTCTGACACTCAATGTGTCGTTTCCATGGAAAGGATATAGTGTGTACTCACGTGAGGTCGTTTCCACTCGAAGGGCCGCGGCGGCGTGCGAGAGAAGAAGATGGAGTACTCACGTGAGGCCGTTTCCACTCGAAGGGCCGCGGCGGCGTGCGAGAGAAGAAGATGGAGCAGTCTGTGGCCGGAAACTCGGGGTCCTCGAACAGCCGGCCGGAGCGGCGACACTCGGCGCGCAGCTTCTCAAAGTCCTGCACCTCACCGCGAGCGCGCAGACCCGAGCCGCGCTCGTTCATCTGCGAGAAGAGCGGGGTCGGGCGGAGGTCAGAGCAGGTCAGGGTAGCCGGTAGGGTCACCAACGGGGCTCAGTCGGCCCTCAGTAGTCCGAAATAGTCGAGCTGGGTCATACACAGGAATCAAAACGCCGCACGCGTCTTCTCGTCTTTTGATTCTAGTTTGAATAAACGTTAATCGCATTTCTGCTTCATTTAGGTATATTTTACAGCAATGATTCACTATTTGGCTAGCCTATACTTTTCTACTTGCCATCCCATAAGGGAAAGATCAGTGGTTTGGGCTCACAAGAACCAGGGTCACTCCATGGTCATTATCACTGACTGACTTGTAGCAGTTTTGATATCTTCGCTGTGTTTTGGGCGTGTCCATGCAACGATAACAAACAACTCTCGTGATCATTCGTCTAACACGAAGCTGCCGTCATTGATGACCGATATCAACAAGGGAAACGTCACGGGAAGAAGGGTAGGACCACCCGCGTAAAGGCTGTGAAGATCGGTATATTGGCTCAAGGTGTTTTGTTTGGACTAAAGCCTGCTGACGTATTATTTGGAAAACATAAATATGTATGTCGAAAACTGAACGTTTGGCACAATCGGCCGGTTTATAGTTATAGGTAAACAAAATACAACAAAAACGTTAATGTTTTGTCCAGCTGACAGCTTCAGTAGACGCTCCATTTTCCAGCGTCTGTCCCTGATTCTGTGACCTCCAGCCCCAGCCTCTGTCCTCTGGGTCGATGGCCGGAGGCAGGAGAAGGATGGCTGGCACGGTGCCACCCTCCCTCCCCTCTCCCCTGTCTCCATGGCTGATGGCAGAGCTCCCGGGGAGCCTCGGCAGACGGGGCAGGTCAGAGGTGCGAGACGGGCTTCAAAGGCGCTGACACGCCAGGAATGCAGGCGCCGGTGGATAGTGCGCTAATTACTTGGCGGGGCGACTGCCTCACAACTTGTCAAGAGATAGTTAAAATGACGCGTACCTGTCATGCTTATGACTTGTAACGTAGACGTGCACATGACCGCACGCATTGGTATCATTCATAATATCGTATTGCTGGACTCCGGAATGACTAAGAGGAAGGAGGAGATAGGAAGACAACAAACAAATGCATTAAAAAAGGTTAGGATATGACTCATCGTAATGCCGTCATTCTGCCACTAAATCGCAAATGTGCTGGTAATAAAATTGTACCCCCTAGGCCTAGCTATTCCAAACCGAAATGGCGAAAAGGCATAAAAATGCATCAATAAATAAATGCATGGAACACCTCTCTGCTGTACAAGCACGATTTTACCTACCGGGACGATTTTCGTCCGTGCTTCCTTAGTGTTCGTCAGTCGGCCGTTGCCTCTGGACCTGCTCTTCTTGTAGTCATCGAATGAGGCGTTCAGGTCGATGGAGCGCCGGGCAGGCTGCGGAACGGTGACCTGATCTAAGGTCATCCCGCTAGCCGTCAGTCGCCGGGGCGCCGCCACCGGCTTGTACTTGGGCTCTTCAACTGGCTTCGGCTCTTCGCCCTCCGAAGTTATGACCTCAGCTAGTACCGCCTTCACACGGCCATCCTCCGGGACATTGCCAGCTCGGGTGTCTTTCTGGACTCCGCTTAGCTCTTCATTTTCTTTGGCATCGATAGTGTGTCTTTTTGTAGGCCTTGCTCTCGGTTGCAAACTATCCATATGCTCGGGACTTTCAGCGGCACTTCGTCTTTCATTATCCACGTCTCTCTGCTTTTGGCCATGCGTATTTCCGATTTCATCTTCAAGTGGCATTTCTTCAGTTTTGCCGGACTTGAGTCTAGCTGACACTAGTTTTACATCGACCTTCCCTGTTCTTTCTCCTGTGTCCGCCTGCTCCTTATACGAATCATCTGCAGGTTTGACCTCAGGCCTCCGATATCGGCTCCGCCGTGCCGCCGCGGAGTTGCTGTCCTCCTCTGAGATCAGGTCCGGCAGCGGAGCTGTCCTGGCTGAGCCGACCCTCGTGGCCGCTCTGGGGGCTGGTGTATCACTCGTTCTCAGAGCGGCTGATCTATGACTTCCCTCCGCCGCCGGGCTTCGGTCTCGAAGCGCTCGTCTCTTTTCAAGAGCATCTACTGGGCGGCATGGTTCAGGTTCGGCCAGCTCATCGCCACTTCCCGAGGCAGCTTTGGCAGCTTTCCTGATCTCTCTGATGGCCGAGGCGTGTTCAGCCGATAGTCTTCCAACAGGCCGTTTCTCGTCCAAGTCACTATCTATTCTGTACCGCGCCCTGCTGGGTAGCGTTTGAATATGAGGCGCAGAGTAGTCGGTGCCCCGGTGCCGTCTCGGTGTTTCCTCGTGTCCATCAGCGTCTTCAGCATGTCTAGCTCTGTGATGTCGATTACTCACCCTCGTCGCAACATTTGGAGGCGATTCTTCATACCGCCTCTCTCCGTGGACCCTGGGAGAGATTGGGGCATCCACACTTCGATTCTCCGTGTCCAGTTCATCAACGGACTGGCCTCGTGCTCTGGCAACCTGCCTCCTGTCAGACCGATCGGCATATCTTGATGGGGAAACGGCTGAGCGTCTACCAATACTCTTGCTACCATGATCATCGACTGCTCGGAAGGCACCCAGCCCTCTTCGTCGAGCTTCTGGTGACTCTCTATCACGACGCTGCGTCTCAGTCACCCCAGCCCGCTCTTGGCTCCCCTCCTCGTCCTCCGCTTCATCCCTCTGTTTCAGCCCCAGCCACTCTCCCATACTGCGGGGCCGCGGCGGCCGAGGCTGCTCCGCCCGACCCGTCAGACCGCTGCGGAGCCTGGCGCGCGGCGCGTCAGAGGGCCGGCCGTCGTCCACCTCGTCCGCCCAGGAGGGCCGAGGTCCGTCCTCCTGCGACTGCAGCCTCTCCATCATCCTCTGGACGTTGTTGCCGGTGCGCTGGCGAGTCCACGGCCTCGGCAGCGAGCCGGCGCCGATCAGGTTCCCCGTGCTCTTCCAGGGGCTCACCGGCGGTGACTGGCGGGGGACGTCCTCCGGCTCCGGATCAGCGAGCCCGTGGGTGGACCGCCACCGGGTCGGGCCGCCGGATCGCGACCGGTCATCGCCGTATCGAGACGACATGCCGCCGCTGGCCGTCCTTCCTAAGCAGACGAGTTGATCTTTAACACTGATGGACAGATGGAGACGATTCGGACGCGTTCACCGTTGCAGGACACAGCTTGGCGGCTTCCACGCTCCTCCCAGACTCCTCTCGGACACAGTTTGGACACGGCTCGGACACAGTTCGGACACGGCGCGGACACAGTTCGGACACCACTGCTGTCCGCCAGCGGACAGTCTACTGATAGCCAGTGGGTGGCGGCCGGCCGGGTGTGCCCGACTCCTATCAGGCCCCTATCAGCCCTCAGCCATGAGCGCAATCAATGGACAGTGGTCGTACCATGCAAGTCAGACAACCGCGGAACTCCCGACCAGATAGAAGAGCTCTTGAGGACTTTGAGCATTCGGGTTGATTAGACCATGAGTGGTCTTAGTCATATGTCAATGGGTTGTCGAATAGAAGGTCGCAGTCTTTCTGAAAGGCGAGTTTGTTTAAAGATTTAATGATTGGGGTGACAGTGGCATCGCAAACTGAGCGGCGGTGTTCAGAATGATGGGTCGATGATTATGTCTAAAAGCGCCTTTAAATGTCTTGATTAAAACGGCATGGGTGCATTACATGCCTAGTCGTGGGTCTATTTCATTCAAATGCAATATCAAGTGAACGACAGCTTTCAGCTGGGACGAGAGTGCAAGTGTATCGTAATTTTATTTCGCGTGCATTTTATCAGGGCCAAGGACTTCGCATCTAGTTATACGGCCGAAGCTAATGTTGGTTCTTCTATCTATCGGTTTATTAAAACAGCGAGACTCACATTCATCTGACAGCTCCTTTTAGCCCCTGAGCCGTTTAATCCTGATCTTTAACCGGACCCATTAAATCCTTAGGGACCGTTTGTTGTCCCTAATCCAGTTCCGTCTATCCTGAATTCTGCAGCTGTTCTGGGGGATTAGCAGTACGAATTTTCAGTTTTTGCAGTAGCTTCGGGGCACTTTGATCTCGAAGATTGTTAGAATATTTGGCTGTTCAATTAGTAAATTATCGCATTGGTTGAAGTTGAAGTACAGGGATATGTTGGAAAAGATGTAAAATTTTCACAGGTTTTGTTTGATGAATACATGTGCACAAATAATAAACGTGAATACGGATATGTGGTTCAAATTTACAACACAACAAAATCCGTTTTATCTGCGAATTATCTCATTAGGCATCTCGTCTCATCTCATCTCTCATCTCATTCGAAGGTATCGAGGCACTTGAAAAGGCTCATTCCAGTCATAGGTGTCATGCACACTTACCTTAAACACGGTGAGTTTCTTATAGCGGTACGGCATTTTGCTGTTTTATTTGCCCTCACTAAACTGTATTACACAAGCACATTCACAGGTTGTTTCGCACTGGGTTTATAACACTGCAGTTCACCTCTCGCACTTGTTGTGCGTTTGCTGACAGTTCTACGTCTGACACTAGGACACACATCATTCTTAGCTGATTTCGGTCCCCTGTTGACTTGTTTTGTGGCTCCGCTTCGCTTCACTTCACAAGCTTGTTATTGCAAGAAAATGGCAAATTGGACCCACTAGATACACCGTTTGAAAAACTAACGTTATGTAAGTACCAGAGGCTCTTCAACCGACTTTAACCGCTCGCTATATGCTATTTTGTAAACGTTATCTAGTTGCGTCAACTAGTGAGCTCTGAATCAAGATTCGCTTCGCTTTGGCACAGTCCAGGCGAGCTTTTAACACAAAGTTTAACACAAGGCTCTCTTTTCCGAGTCCCTTCCTCGCGGCACTTGATCCCCCCACACTTCGAGCACGTGCCCGCTACCCTCCCTCTCTCAGCCCCTCAGGCGGTGCCCTGACCCGCACGACCCGGCGCCGCAGGGCATACTGCCGGGGGCAGTTCGGCGCTGGACGGCCGAGGCTGCGTGCGC